GCACCGGCTTAAGCAAAATTCAACATGAACTGGTACAATTTTGAATTTTGAAACATCCGCAGATGTGTTAACATGGTGATTATCATGGAACCTTCAATGTGACACGTAAGTGCCATACCATGAAAAACGGCATATGATCCCCAAGTAAAAAAAACAAAACACACTCTGAAATTCAGTAAGAGAAACATGGCGCCCCCTACTTACTTTTTTATTTCTTGGTCAATTTTGATAATTTTAGAATATTATAAACAAGATCATCAAGGAAAGGCGGCGTTGATAATTTTAGACTCAAGTAAAAAATTCTGGAAACAAAGTGATCCCTCGGAAGCATTAATCACAACAAAATTACATAAGAATTGCAGACTCGGTTTGATTGAGTCTGTACATTAGAGATAATGAATAAGTGCAACATCCCTCACGCCCCCTAGCACCGGATTGAGCGGTACTCATTTCTCAACACTTAATAGTGCTTAAGAATCCTTAATGAACTTTCTAGTAATGCCTTAAAAATGAAAATTAATTACGTAAAAGTATTAAAAATTTTGTTTCTAACTTATCGTTGTTTTTTTTTTCTCTTAAATCCACACTCATATATTCGGAAAAAAATAACGTCGCTTCCTTTAGATACTTTATTCAAAAAAGAAAATAAATATTGAATGAAGTTAAGACCATAAGTTTTGAACAAGTATATTAAAAATCTGGAAACAAGGTGATCCCTCGGAAGCATTAATCACAACAAAATTACATAAGAATTGCAGATTCGGTTTGATTGAGTCTGCACATGAGGGATAATGAACAAGTGCAACATGCCTCACGCCCCCTAGCACCGGCTTGAACGGTACTCAATTCTCAACACTTAATAGCGCTGGCATCAATGATCCCGAAAGACCAGAAAAATATAACAAAACTGAAGTGAAGTACGGGGCAACTTTTTACAGCTGTCTCACGGCACTTGAAACCTGCTGTTGTGAAGTATAAAAATCTGGAAACAAAGTGATCCCTCGGAAGCATTAATCACTACAAAATTACATAAGAATTGCAGACTCGGTTTGATTGAGTCTGTACATGAGGGATAATGAGCAAGTGCAAAAAGTTTTTATTCATACTGAAAATACCTTATTAAAGATTGTACATATGTGCTACGGATAAGTATTTTCTTGATTTCGGAAAGGAAATCTCGGTGGCCGCTTTAAAATATACTTGCATAGTTTTTGTTGAAAACGAAATTTGTGCTAATACATTTTTCAATGATACCAAATTGGGTGGTTTTTTACATTATTAATAAAATTAATCCCTTGAAGTTGGTCATTGTTTCCCATCGCTGATGTTTCTCAGGAATATATGATAAACAAGATCAACAAGGAAAGGCGGCGCTCAATGAACGCAACCCCACATGACCCAGCAACAAGAACAAGTGGCAAGAAGCCAAGGCGGACCCAAAACAAAACACAGGACAGGGCACTAGGCAGAGCACGGACAGGCTAATCACTAAAATGATAAATAATTTGTAACTGATAAAAACACGATGTTAAAAATAAGGTAATGCATAAGTTATCTTCATCATAAATGGTAAAATCAGCAATTTTCAAGTGATGTTGCTACTGACAAAACTTTTGTAACAAACGTAACATATATATTTTATGAAAAATGCCGTATGTTGTCCTTCAGTTTTATTTAAAAATATGGGAGAGGCGCCGTTTTATACCTGTCCGCAATAGAAGTTCGTAAATACTCCGAGAGGGGCGGGGCGTTATGCTTGACTTAAAATCGTTTAACTTTGTGAATCTACTTTTGTCATTTTAAACATGTTACTGTGTTAACGTACTCTTGTAGTTCTACAACTGGTAACACGTTTTCTTAAACTCTATTTTCCGTATTCGAGTTTTACGTTTCATTTTTATATTTCAGATCTATAAGTGTGCAAACATGCATATGTATTGCATGCAATGGAAGATACGAACTTGTAAATTTGTTGTCGTTTTAGATGTTAGGTCAGTTGTTACGATATATATGTAAACTTGTTATATAAAGGCGGTAACCTTCAAATAAAAGATTGAATTAAGAGGTTTACAATAAAAATGGTAGGCATACAAGTTCGCATTTTCAAAAGTCATTTTAAAAAGGAACACTTTACATGTCTGGAATTTTGGCAACGAACGCCCTCCATACAAATAACATGCTAAAGTCCGTATACATATTCAAATGAAAGCGCTAATAATAGAAATTATCTAAGTGCGTTTTCAAAATGTACAGTTTTATGTACTAGAATGAATAAAAAGTCAACAAATGTCAAAATATAGCTTCGCCTAATATATATTGTACATGTATTGCAAAATGACGATTCATAGAAGTTATTCAATGAGTGTAGATTTTATACTAAATTCATTGAACGAGTTAGATAAATCATAAATATGCAAGCTTCTGGCGAGTTCAATAAATTTAATATTGAATATACACAAATATAATATTCTAACAATCACATATCCAAAATAAGAACGGTTTAAGAACAGCTATAATAGTCATTTTCCATTGAAGCGCCTATAGTGTTATGCTTTTACGCTATGTCTATATGTAAAGGTTCAGTTACAAAGACGGTCGGTCCCGAACCGGTCATTTAATTTTAAATTTACTCGCTGTTATGATCGCTTGACATGCGTGATTTTATTTCTGGTTTTCTGTGTAAACGGCAATCGGTGACAGAAAGCAAACTCAAACGAGATTGGATTGGTGATAAAAATGTTGAAATACTATCGGTTTTTATCGTTTGTAAATTGGAGCTAAATCGGGCGTAACGTTGATTAATTGGTGTTTGATAGCTAGTCATCAGTGGTTGTATCATAGTTTGGGGACCTTTCTGTTGAAAATGTGCCAGAGTTAAATCGTATACATATACATGCACAGTGCGTTAACTGGAGTGCAGGTATTAGTTACCCGCACTCCAGAGCATGCCTATTGATTGGCTAATATTTGCTGAGGTTTACTTATTGTGACGGAAGAGAAAGGGAAAGCGATAAATATGTCTTTTTCAGATGCTCGTTCATTGGCTCCTTTTTTCTTGGGTTTTATATTGTGACAACAGGGAGCGTGATTTTATGTTTGACTATGATACAAAACAGAAAGAACATCAAAACACTAGGCAATCTGATTAATACCCGGTGGCTACGCCCCCTCGAACAAATCAGATACCCTCGTGTTTCGATGCTCTTTCTATTACTTTTATAACACTTTCCGTCAGATATGGCCGGTGATTCATATTTTGTTATCTTTGTCCGATCGGCAATATCGATGATTTAGAGCTTGCATATCTCGTGATATAAGTGCTGTCGGTTATTTGTAAAATATTTTCACCGATCGAGAATTTTAAACATGTTTAAAAATCCCAATCGGTAATGTTCACCGATAAAACTTATCTTTCCCAAATAGCACTTGATAGGTGAAAAACAGGTGACCAATAGGTGATATCGGTGTTAGATACGTCGTCACCGGTTCACTTCATAATTTGGCTAAACAAATCTACCGATCTCTATGTAACTGGGGTGTAAACATGTTTAAATATCTCGATATACATACGAGGGTTGTTCGGGAACTTCTGAGAATTGTTTTATAGCACACGTTGTAGTCGGGTTAGCGTAAATATAAATATATACGCATTTATTTCAATATATACTGTACAGTATCTGAAAATATCATCATCATACACACAGAAACTAAAACATAATAAAAATAGTAAATAACCATATAACAAACACCCGGAGCACGCCGAAGTCATTTGCAACGTTATGCGACGTTAAAGTCCATCGATCGTCACACCTTTTTATCGTGGTCACCTGCAATTTCGATGCATTTCCTGTGTCGGCTGATCCACTTATTGTATGTTTCTTTTGTAAGTATTCCGTGTACAGTAGAAACTGATACGCAAAGTTCATCTGCAATAGCCCTAACTGTCGTTCTTCCGTCACATGTCTAAATATAGAACGTCAAACAGTGATTTTATAGCATAATAACACACACTTTCGGTTCTTCTATGTTCAATAGGGAAAAATGCGGGTCGTGTTAGAATATTTCTTAATTATTAGTGTAGCGCGTTATACCTTTCTTTAGAGTCGGACTGCTCCGGTGCGGCGTTATAGTGTTGCTATGGTTACTGCTATTTCCGGCTATTGTTGTCTGATTCTATTCAATTTTTAGGAATAGTTCCGTGATATGCTAATCTTAGTATGTGCAAAATATTACGTCTAAGAAACAAAAAATAAAGGAGATATGACAAAATTCCCAGAACTTCCCGAACAACCCTCGTATATATAATTTCACTTAAATTTGGTATACCACCTCAATTATAACATACAGGATCTTTTGGAACGTTATAAATAGAATATTATTTTGATTTAGGGTCACTCGTTCAATAAATTCAATATTGCATCTTCACTTATTCATTATCCTCGGGCTTGTGTGATAAATATTAAGCTGAAATACTATCACTTTTCTCTTTTGAGGGTTTTTTTTTGTCAACCTTTATTGTGTTCCCTTTTATCGCCCTTTTATCGCTGGGCATTTAATTGCCCATTGGGAGGCTTTCGGACGTTTTACCCAAAGTTAATCAAGGGTCTGTTTGATCAAGGGATTTGGTCTGGATATTTAATCCGTTCTAAAACTACCAATTAACGGATTTTGTTAATATAAAAAAAACAGCAAGGAAAGATATTAGCTTTTATAAGTGCTATTCGGCAATGCGACTCGGGATCGTAACCAATACACGTAATGTTGCTGGATATACCAGTATAGTAGACTTTCCGATCGCTGTACTTTTCATCATTATGGGCATGATCATCATCATTTGTTTATGATAATATTTATCATAATACTTATGATTACATATGTAAATATATATATCAAAAGAAGATTGGATTCGTTTTCCGGTGACAAAATGATTTCAGTTTTTGAATCCCCCCCCACACTGTTTCATCAATTTTATTTTCCTTTTATTATGATACCAGTGTGTTCGTCAGTGGTTGTTCGGATGACTCAACTGTATTGTTCACTGTCAAAAATACAAATATTTACCACCACGATGTCACAACCTGACGCCGCAAACTCCAGCGCAATTATTGGCGGGAAATTGGTCAAAATCGACGAGGAATGGAAATTCGACGCTATTCAAGCACTAATACGTGACTGTCCAGGTTCAAAATTATATGTTTACAATAGACTAATGCACTAGTACAAAAAATATGTTAGCTGATTTGTGCCATGTCGTATTTCCGCTTTGTGGGGATTCAGACGAAAACATAAGAAATATTAAGTATCTTTAATAAAATTGTCCACTGTGCCATAAACATGGCATATTGTTTTTTTTTTCAGAACATACATAAATATTTCATACGTAAACTCTGAACTACAAGGCTTTAATATGAAACAACTAAATATTAGGTTACAACTTCTTTCCTTTTTTTATAATATGTTATAAAATTTCGAATGTTCAATGAGATTCCCAGATCTCACTTTTTGTAATGGCCAATCAACGTTTTATCTGAGAGGCCAGTGTTGGCTGACGTTTCTTGGAGAACAAATTGGGCGGCATGCACCTTGTGGACTTTTTCTTTATGATATTTTTGCACACACCAAAACGGCGCTTGGCTTTGGAAATTTGTTCAATAATTTTGTTACAGAGGCCCAGTATTAAAGGGGACACCACTGGAGGTTTTGTGACATGACAGGAATAGAAATAATTTTCGGGAAAACGATGTTTTATTTGATACAGAAGTAAAGAAAAACTTGCGTCTAAAATTATTCTTAATGTAAAACAACAGAAATTGAATAGCGTAGCAAATCAAATCGGGCTATGGACAGCACGAAATACAAATACGATCTTCATCATTTCTTATTATATTTGTTTTAAATTGTTTATTATCTTTTATAAATATTTCTGTTTTGAGTGCCCAGCTGGTATATATAAGAAATCAAAATTTTATTATTTTATGCTTTTGAACTATATATATAATGTAGTTCCTTTCACAAAAGTTTGAAATACAAAAAGAAAACGTGTAACTAGTTGTCTAATTTTTCTTATTGCATATCGTTACCTATACCGGCATAGGTTTTTGCAATGTGTTGAAGATTGTTTACTACGTTGTTGTTTATTTTGTTCTCTTTCAGGTCTAAATACTGGCCAGTACTGGGTAGATGGCTACAACGAAAGAAACAATGTAGATGAATGGAAATTTTCAGACGATACTTTGGTCCCCATGGACAAACATTTCTGGAAAGAGCATGCTCCAAACGAAAAGGAAGGTGATCCATTTTGCATTCGTATGGTACGTCACAGTGGTGATGAAATAGGGGACCATCGTTTCGACGATACCAAGTGCTCGAATACATTTGGTTATATATGTGAACAAAATTAACATTAAACCAAATGCAAATGTATCGTGATTAGCTCACTTTGGTTGGACACAGTAATCACATATTTTCATGTTCCAAAACCCGAACAGGATGTCATACTGTGCTTGTGATAATTGAGCCGCGTCATAACAAAACCAACATAATGGGTGTGCGACCAGCATGGATCCAGACCAGCCTGCGTATCCGCGCAGTCTGATCAGGATCCATGCTGTTCGCTTACAACTCTATAACAAGTAGAGAAAACGATACTGACAGCGAACAGCATGGACCCTGATCAAACTGCGCGGATGCGCAGGCTGGTCTGGATCCATGCTGGTCGCACACCCATTATGTTGCTTTTGTCGTGACGCGGCTCATATGTTTTCTAGGAATACGTTCTTGTAATCTAATCTTTGTTTTCCTTGATATTGTGCAATACTAATTTTATTCAAAACGAAGTCTTTTCCTTTTGGGTATTGAGCTGAAATGTCCTTTATTTAGCAGGAAGTTCTATAAATAAAACACAAAGCAATACTTTTTTAACTCTAAGTTGAACATTATATGACCTTGCAATATGGCGTTATATATTGATAATTACAATATATAAAGTTTAAAGTGAATATCTTTTACACTTTTTTTCTAAGAAAATAGTCTATTTTAAAAAGATCTTATAACATGTAACAGCTAGTAGACAGGACTGACTTTGAGAATTTGGCTCCCTATAAGATGCTAGAGGCATTTTGTAGTACAAGTGGTATCTTGGTGTATTTAACCTATTTAAGGTATGCTGAATCCGGTAAAAGTGGATACCAAATTGAAAAATTTGATCTTCACCATTGAAATGGCCATTTGAAATGACCACTAAAATGGGCGCCAAATTTCTTTATCATAAATGGATGATATATCAAATAAAACTTTTAAGGAAAGGAAAAGCCTGAAATTTGTCACAAAGCATGTTTAGGTAAAAACAAATTAGAAACCAAAACAGAATTAAAAAAACAAAACAATCCAATATGGCCGAATAATCCAAGATGGTGGACATTTATCTATAGGCCAATATAATACTAATATAGAAGCAATATTAAAGATAGTACTGAAAATTTTAAGGCATTTTAAACATAAGAGACCTGTATACACTTCACTCTTCCCTGCCCTATCTGCTTGATATAGGGCTTTCATGTATTTTATCTGGCACTCTATGCAAGCATATAACGTGACTACTCAGATTCCTACTGCGTATGTGTGAGGAGGTTAAACATATACATTAATATACATTAATTAAAAGGCACCTTTCTCTGAGTACTCTTGGGTTTTGATGCTCGTTTTTTTGTTATCGGTCGTCGTCTTCGTTCTTCTGTAATCGGTCCTGGTCTCAGTTCTTTTGTTGTCAGATGTTCTGTTATCGGTTCACGTCTGTGTTTTCGGTCGTCGTCTTTGTTCCTCTGTTATCGGTTCTCGTCTTCGTTCTTCTGTTATCGGTCTTGGTCTGAGTTCTTTTGTTGTCAGATGTTCTGTTATCGGTTCACGTCTGTGTTTTCGTCGTCGTCTTTGTTCTTCTCCGTTCATCTGTCATCGGTTCCCAACTCTATTCTTCTGTAATCAGTCCTGTAATCAGTTTCTTGTTGTCAATTCTTCAAGACTTGTTGTCAATTCTTCTGTTATTGGTCCTCGTCTCTATTTTTCTATTATCAATCCTCTCTCCGTTGTCTTGTTGTCAGTTCTTCTGTTATCGGTCCCTGTCTCTGTTCTCCTGTTATCAGTCCTCGTCTCTTGTTCTTCTGTTATTGGTCGACGTCTCTGTTCGATTGTTGTCAGTTCTTGTGTTCACGGTCCCTGTCTCTCTCTTCTGTTTTCAGTCCTCGTCTCTCTTCTTCTGTTATCGGTCCTCGTCTCTCTTCTTCTGTTATCGGTCCTCGTCTCTCTTCTTCTGTTATCGGTCCTCGTCTCCGTTCGCTTGTTGTCAGTTCTTGTATCCGTTCTTCCTTCTGTTATCGGTCGTCGTCTTCGGTCTTGTACTTTCGGTGCTTGTTTCCTGTTCCGTTAAGGTCTTCTCTTGTATACTATGGTTGCCGTCATTTCTGTGTCGATGTCCTGGTTTTGTCAGTCTTGTAGTCATTTATTCGTTCAGTGGGAGTAGCGGGGATCGAACTCACGACCCCTTTGATTTGTAGGCAGACAGTGTTACCACTGCACCACATAGCGCCCGCTCTGAATAATAACCATTTTTGAAAGTCCTTTATACATTAAATACTATTTCAATGGCTAAGAAAGAGTGTATTACAATTATATTTTAACACCTCTTATCTTATGTAGCCAACCCACGTGACTTTTATATATGGTCAAAGTAAATATTACTCGATTTATTACAAGTAATATTTTTATAGATAACTTTGCTGTTACTTTAAAAGATATCCTGGATTTATTGGAGGGTACCCGGAATTCTAATGTATATCAAATGATGTGATAATCTTCTTGTAGAATTTTCTCAAAACCGTGACTGAATTCCAAAATTTTCGAGAGCTGCGATGGTAAAAGCAAGCACACATAGCAATCTCCCGGTTTCAGACAATTGATGACTCGATGAAAATATGGTTTTGTTATTGTTGTTGTTGTTTTTAACTTTAAATTTTAAATTTCAAATTTAAATAGTCACTTATTTTTAAACAAGATGGTAAACATTTGGTGTTTTCTGTAATTTTTGTTAAGGATGTGATGAAGTATACACTTCTAAGTTTTAAGATGACTTTTATCCATCGCATACCTTAATGCAGTTATAATTGAATCTAAAAAATGAATTATGCAAACATTATTTTCAGCAGAAAACAACAAATACAAACAAAACCACACACAAAAAAACTTAAATGCAGTATACATATGTAATGTTCACAATGTGCTAAAAAACGGCTCTTTATTAATTTCAATATTTCAGCAAGTTACACATTTTATAAATGAATGGGACAGAAACTATTGTTGTAACCATTTAAAAAGTAGGATTTTGTAAAAATTTTGTAAGTTGGCTTATTTTTTACCTAGTTTGCTCAACACTCAATAAACACATTATATATATAAACCTGAGGTAGAAAACAACTTTCATAGATTGAGATAGAGCCATAATGTCGTAGATATTTTGGGTTACAACAGGAGTTTTTGATCCTGATAATGTTTTAAGTAGGATAAACATATTCTTAAAATTTTTGTACTGCCTTAATTCATTTTTTTAATACGTTGCAATTATGTTTATTATTATGTCTTTAGTTAATAGTTTCTAGAGAAAAAGCCTTAACAAAAGGTGGTTATCTTTTATTTTATATATAAATTTTATAATGTGTCACATGTCGCCTTTAAACAGATGTTGTGGTGATTTTTGCGCATACTTAATCCCGCTTTTTGCATGTTGGAACAACAATTATTTTATTTGTTTGTATACACAGCCTAATTGCTAATTTTGTATAGTCTTATTTTATTGACCCTGTAAATTATGAATACATTACAGCACTCATTGAAATATTAGATTCCACTTCCGATTTTGTTAGTAAAGTTTACGAGAATTAATAGAGGATATTTGTTTGTTTGTTTGTGTGTAAGATGAAAGATTTTATTTTTCATCGAGTGGGCCTTTAAAAAACAGTATTCAGCCACGAGTGGAGAATACTATTCTTTAAAGTTCACGAGTTATAGTAAAACTATAAAACTAATGTTAGTGAAAGTCATATCTCTAAAAAATGTAAACGTTATTGTTACTACCGCACTAGCATTGCCCGGTTAAGTGGATTGACTGATGTGTGAGAGGTCTATGGTTCGATTCCTACTGTTTTTCCCCTTTTTTAAGACCCTACTGTTTTTTGTTTGTTTTTTTTTTTTTTTTGGGGGGGGGGCTCGGGGGTTGGGGGTAGGGGTGGCGGTTGCAGTATATATATAAACCATAAATACTTTTAATAAGTGCAAAATAATGAAAACAAAATGAACAACTTTTAAAAAAATCATAGCTACAAATAATTTTAAAAATTACGGAAACACCTGAAGTGACATTTTTTCCACACTTTCTCCCCGGAATTGAAATCGTTTTTACGAGGATAATAATTCCCAATATAGAAATATTATTTTCAGTTTAAATTACGAAATATTTGATTCCTTATTACGAAATATTTATTCGTAGTTACGAAATATTAATTTGTTATTATGAAATATTCATTCTTTTTTGGTAATATTTATTAAAGAAGGATTTGAAACTACGTTTATTTGTTTAAACAATAGTAACAAAACAATAAAAAGTGATTTTTTTCAATCTTAGTTTCTTATACCCCTTAACGCAATTAGTAAAACAGTACTGTATATTTACTGTTTATTGACCATTGGGCTTATTATCGTTATTTGGTGGCTAATTTCATTAAAAATCTGATCATATTGAATAATCATTTGATTTTGACAAGAATAATTAATTGCCATCATATTGTAATCATAGTTTTAATGACCTATTTTAGTATTTTTTAAGCGGCCATTTTGAATTTGACCTTTTTGAAGGTCAAGGTCAATTTCATTATCTTGGTTATCCACCCTCATCGTCCATTCAGTATACCCATATTAGGTTAAAACTCTCAAATATTACTTGTCTATTAAATGGGGCCTCTAGCCATTAATATTTTCTTAAAAAATCCAGTCCTGTCTATAGGAACCTTTGACCTTTTAACCCTGAAAGTGAATGTGGCAGATACAACTCATCAAGGGTACATCTACCATACTAAGTTTTGAAGTAACTATGTCAATGCACTTAAAATGTAATTTTGTTTTTAGTGTTATGTTTTAGTTATACCACAGTGGGGTGTAACAGTTCAAATAAAATAAACGTGCATCTCCTAAATTTTAGTTTTATTAGTAATGAAGTAAGTGAGCAAAGCTTAAACTAAAAATTAACTAAAAGACGTGTATTTTTTTCAAGTTATGGCAACCTTGACCTTTGATCTTAAAAAAAAAACAAGAGAGGTCATAATAATAATCAAACAGTCATTTATGAAGTTTAAAGATGTGTCAATGAAAACTTCAAAGTATTGAGATAATTATATAAAGTTCAAGGTCACTATGACCTTGGTTGGACCTGATGACCTTAAACAGTTTTTCAAATGAATTGGGACAAATGATATTTAATCAGTTAAAGGAAACATACAGGCTGTTGGACAAACAAACATGGGAAACATAATATCACTATATTCTCCACATATGTAGGACACAGACTCAACATATAATACACATAGTGACAAGAAGAAAATCTGTTTTTAACAAGTTTATTACATTATCAAGTCCAGTTAAAGCAAACTTAACAAAATCTATAATCACTTTCAGGTCATGTTCACAATAATGATTAAAGAGAGAAATTAAAATATAAAGAATACAGCGGTTTAGTAACTTGAATTAAAAACAAAAACTGTGGGTAATACACTTTTACCAGAAGGCAAAGAATGAAATTTAACATGTTATTGATGAAAAAACGTAACTGATTTAGTTAATTTGAGTTTTAAAGCAGCATTATATTTCATTCAAGTTATATAATTACACTCTCTTTCCACTTTATTTTTCACATCATACTCTTTACATGCATAACTTAACTTAAACAAATACTATCCATTTCTGAAAAAAAAAACCCAACCTGAATATCATTATTATAATAAGATAATTTTGGTTAATTAAACTAATTTTATTAATCTACTTAGCATCACAGGTGCCAAACGTCTTAACACCCACTCCCCATACCCTACCTCTATACCAGTATATATACACAAAACAACTTATGTTTATAACAGATATAAGAATGTATGACAGGGATATTAGATGTCAAGCACCTGCGCTTAGAATTATATAGATAAATATGTGATCATAAAAAGTAACAATGTTACATTCAAAAAATAATAATCTCTTGTATTTGGCTCTTGTGTATTTTAATATAGCACTTATTGCTTCCTTATTACCTTGTCTACCTTACAAAGGCTTTTTTTGTTTTTGGTTGTGTTTTACATCACAGCAACACAATTGAGGTCATACCGTGACTTTACAGCCTTACTGGTGGAGGAAGACCTCAGGGGCCCCTCCATGCAAAGTATGAAGCACTGAGATTTCTTAAGCTAGATGGATGGCCAAAGTTCCTGGCTGGGTGGAACGGAGGAAGTTGTTTGAAGCCACTCTGCCACTGATGCGCCATTGGAATTTAATACTAGTTACAGTTTCAAGGAATTCATATAAGAAGTTTTATAATTACATTTTATGCTGACCCTTAAGCTGCTGAATTTGTGCAGTCGACTTGCCTTGCAGTGAATAAACATTTCAAGATTTTTTCTCTCTTTTTCTAAATAAAATACAAAAATTTAGTAGCTGTCAGCTTAGGGTAAGCTTAAAAAAAAACACTTAATTTTTGGCTGGCCTGGATCTATACAGGAAGCATAGATGAAGAACCTTTCACTGCTTGTATTTGAAATGGTGACTTGTGAACTTGTCACAAAAAACATCAGTCTATTTCTACCTAACAACTAAACCAACATCTTGTATTCTTTCAAACAGGTACTTTCTATAATTTTATCAAAATAAAGGTCATTTGAAATACTGTTCACATTCTCTTATATATCTTATGTCTTATATATCATTGTCTTATATATCTATTGCACAGTGTCTAAAAATTAAGTTAGGGTTCTTTAACTTTTTCTGTCAAAATGGCTGACTTGCTCATTAATTTCTATTATTATAATATGCATACAGGTTTGTATTTAACATTATCTTTGACCTCAAAAATTACTTCTAAAATTCAGCCTTCAACAAAGAGATAAAACTGGTCTTACATTAGTTATCTGGAAATATCTTAACAAATGGAACATTACGGGCAAAGTTCAACCCTTTTATATTTGTGTAATTGACTTGCCCTGTATTGAATTTGGAACAGTCCATTTGAATTTTAAGGAATTTCAATAACAAAACAGAAAAGGCCCTATTTAACAAAAGCATATTAATTTTAGTTCCAGGAGTTTAAGGTCTTAATTACCCCCCTAGTATACGGACATGTCATAAGAACATATGCTTTATGCTCTACTCATGCTGAGCTGGTTTAAATTATAAATTCAAAGTTTTGTTTGTTTGATTGGGTTTTATGTCACACCGACACAGTATAGATCATATGGCAACCTTCCAGCTTTACTGGTGGAGGCAGACCTTCCGTGCATTATTTCAGACACGAACGGACATCTGAGTAGAACCACCGACATTTTGTTAAATAGCTGGATAGCTTCCTCATATGAAAAAATCCAAAGTCCCTGTCGTGATTCGAACCCAAAGCGGTGAGGGGCAAGTGGTTTGAAGTCATCGACCGTAACCACTCGGCCACGGACGCCCCATAAATTCAAAGTGTCACGTTAGAAAATGAAAGTACCGAATAGCAATCATTAAGACTATACATACAGATTAACTAAATTGTCAATGTTTATAAATAAATTAACTTGTGAATAAATAATTGTTGTTAAAAATTCTTAAAACATTAAATGTTAATCTAGGAGTCTTTGAGTAAATAATGCATGTCCAAATAATGACTAAAATATATACTGAAAGGTTATTTTAATTTAGGCTAAGTCACACAGTCAATTGTTAATGTTACATGGTGACTTTCCAGCTTTACTGGATCAATTACACCTCATGTATCTCTAACTAGGGTCCTTAACACGGACACGAGCCAGCACCTGTGTAAAGAAGTGTTTATTGTAATAGATAAGTATGTATAACAATAAATCCTGTAACCACAGTAACTAAATTTTCTCATTAACATTTGACAAATTACAAAGTCAGCATTTTATATACATGTACAATGCCCATTGTAGACCAATCCACTTTAAGTCCTACCCACACTATGAGGACTTTTCATCTTCACTGGAGGAGAAAGACAGTAAATTCTCCCTTGTTCAATACTTAAGGCATGATTGTGCAACCAAGTAGAACCCTTCACCTTTCATAAATAAGCTGAATAGCTTTGTCATACAAATAATCTAACATCCTTAGCAGGGTTTGAACCCATAATGATGAGTGACAGGTGATAAGAATTCAGCTATCCAACCCACTTGATCAGGAAGAGCCCACACAAGATTTCTTAAATATATCAATTCAACTCATGCAAATATTGCAATGTTTAAATTCATCTATGTAAGGCTAGATTTTGGTAATTGATCAGTCAGCTGTCACATCTTAACACATAAAAAGATGCTACTTATTTAAACAAATACATCTTAGAACTAACAAATAACACAACAGAAATGATTTTCATTCCAGATTTTATGAAAAAAATAAATAATGTACCATAAAATAGGATAACCAATAAAAAGAATTTGCTCTCTATCTATAGTAACACATAACTACGTAACATCTCTAAATAAAAACAAATGGGTTCATTAAATCCTTTCTTTTTTCCACTTTTCACTCAGCAGAGCATTTTTTGACTAAGTTTTCCATTAAAAACTTTTATATGCATAGTTGAATTCAGTGTGACTTTTCAATTTAATAAATATAAATTTGCCAATGCATGTAATATTATTTGTAATACAATGCAGCAAAAGTCAAATTGGAATTAAGAATAACATGTATTATTTTGAGTACATAGCTAAAACATCAAAATTCCTTGCCATCACAGAATTTATTCCTCTCTGCATTTGCTAAACCATTAAAAATAAAAATGCTTTTAAAAATCGCACAGGGCTGCTTTACCTCTTGCTATTCTTAATTATAACAGTCAATTTTACAATTTACGGAGTGCACTTGACTCTCGACTTTGCATAATTACCACTGGAACATACATAAATTAGAACAAAAATTAAATCAGAAAAGTCAAACTGCATAGAACCTTAGCACTGTCTGTAGCACTTTCTATGCAAGGCCCGTCTATAAATATTAAAAACATTTCTAACATAGAAAATCTAAAACTTGGAGATAATTTTCCTCATAACAACATTGTTGATGGGTTTTCGAGATATTTACGGAACTCAGCTAGCCACTTGGCACCTACAGCGCCATCTACCACCCGATGGTCACAACTCAATGTCACTGACATCACTGTCGCTTCCGTGAACCTTAAAATAAAACATACACAAAATTACAAATTCTTCAAAATACTCTTTTTAGTTTGAAAGGTGTGAAAACTTGTAAAATATTTGAACTACCTTCAAATCCACTTCCTGGAAAAAGTATTTAACCCTTACAAAGCTTGTTTTGTAAAATGGATTGGCCCTGCTATGACTTTGGAACAGTCAAATGTAGTTTTAAGGGATTTAGGTATCAAAATGCTAAAATTTGGTCAGCCAACAGTATAGTCTGGTCAGACTGTATAGAAATGAAGGCTCACAAATCAAATGCACTCAAAGGTCCAGTATGGGACATACTTGATACTACAGTGTTCAATAAAGGAAATACATTGAAATGTCACATGGTTTACCTCAAAAGCAGAGACTGGATGTAAATTATGGGTATAGAATATTCGTGCACATTTCTTCAAAAAGATGCCCTCACTTTGTTTGTAAATGGGCATCACTTTGTATGTTAACAATCCTCACTTTCTAAATATTTTAACTTACCCTGAGCTACTGTCCTCGTCCACCACTAATCTCTTTTCAGCCCCACCTACTGCCAGGATACACGCCTGTGGTGGATTGATTACTGCTGAGAATGACTTTATACCAAACATACCCAGGTTAGAGATTGTAAATGTACCACCCTGCAACAATCAAATAATGTCATATTACAGTGATAAGAAAACAAAAAGTAAAAACCAAAATTTCATTATTAACCTTCACTATGAATTTATATATTATAACTACTGTTATTTTGGTTGGTTTTCAAGCACTCCAACAATGTACAGTTTATATGGTGATTTTCCAACTTTAGTAGTGAAAGAAGACCTCGAGTGCCCCCTTGTGCTTTATTTCAGACATAAGGGGGACACCCAAGAAGAACAAACATGTTGATTTGCCAGCTTGAAGGATAGTTTCCTAACAAGGAAGTATCTAAAGCTGCCCTGTACAATAGAAACATATTTTACCTATAACAACTCAAATTCACGTGCAACAGGTTATTTATAACTTTTTATTATTATTATATAAGCTATGTAAACCAAAAAACAACTGCAACACATTATTAACAATTTGACAAGCCGCAACTACAGCGCAGAATACATTTAATTCACTTAGCGAACAATTTTTATTCGCTTACCCGAACAAAGTTCCTCAGGACAATAAGAGCTAAATTCATGGAGAACTTACTTGGAATTCATGTGGTTGTAATTTGCCATCTCTGGCTTTAGCTGCCAACATTCCTACATCTTCACCAATCTGTGCGAGACCCTATAACATATAACATTTCACATGATTATATCCGAGGACAAATACTGTATGTATATACAGTAAAAATTGCCTCAGTTCCCAAAATAAGGGAAAAGGACATGACAATTTCCATTTCTACAAGTATAGTTTCCCCCCAGGACAGAGAGCCTTGGTTACCCACTTGGCAATGTGTCTCTTTTTGCCAAACGTAGCTACACTTGACTTTATATTTTTTTCCTAATCAAAAACATTAAGAGGAAGAATATTGAAGAATTATTTGAAATAGTCAAGCTAACAATGATTGAAGATATCCGTTTAGTTTGTTTCCAAGTGTGATTATTGTGTTTTTATTTAACAACAATTTAAATAAAAGCATATAAGCCCCCTTAAATCCTCAAAAAACATAGGGGAAAACCAGATCTGTTTGCCACAGCTACTTTTATATAAACTTTTTTATATCGAAGTATGGGTTAAATAACATTATATATATAAACCTGAGGTAGAAAACAACTTTCATAGATTGAGATAGAGCCATAATGTCGTAGATATTTGGGTTACAACAGGAGTTTTTGATCCTGATAATGTTTTAAGTAGGATAAACATATTCTTAAAATTTTGTACTGCCTTAATTCATTTTTTTAATACGTGCAATTATGTTATTATTATGTCTTTAGTTAATAGTTTCTAGAGAAAAGCCTTAACAAAGGTGGTATCTTTTATTTTATATATAAATTTTATAATGTGTCACATGTCGCCTTTAAACAGATGTTGTGGTGATTTTGCGCATACTTAATCCCGCTTTTGCATGTTGGAACAACAATATTTTATTTGTTTGTATACACAGCCTAATTGCTAATTTTGTATAGTCTTATTTTATTGACCTGTAAATTATGAATACATTACAGCACTCATTGAAATATTAGATTCCACTTCGATTTTGTTAGTAAAGTTTACGAGAATTAATAGAGGATATTTGTTTGTTTGTTTGTGTGTAAGATGAAATTTTATTTCATCGAGTGGGCTTTAAAAACAGTATTCAGCCACGAGTGAGAATACTATTCTTAAAGTTCACGAGTATAGTAAACTATAAAACTAATGTTAGTGAAAGTCATATCCTCTAAAAATGTAAACGTTATTGTTACTACCGCACTAGCATTGCCGGTTAAGTGATTGACTGATGTGTGAGAGGTCTATGGTTCGATTCCTACTGTTTCCCTTTTTTAAGACCTACTGTTTTGTTGTTGTTTTTTTTTTGGGGGGGCGTCGGGGGTTGGGGGTAGGAGTGGGGTGGTTTGCATTATATATATAAACCATAAATACTTTAATAAGTGCAAAATAAATGAAAACAAAATGAACAACTTAAAAAAATCATAGCTACAAATAATGTTAAAAATTACGGAACACCTGAAGTGACATTTTTTCCACACTTTCTCCCGGAATTGAAATCGTTTTTACGAGATAATAATTCCCAATTAGAAATATTATTTCGTTTAAATTACGAAATATTGATTCCTTATTACGAAATATTATTTCGAAGTTACGAAATATTAATTTGTTATTATGAAATATTCATTCTTTGGTAATATTTATAAAGAAGGATTTGAAACTACGTTTATTGTTTAAACAATAGTAAACAAAACATAAAAAGTGATTTTTTTCAATCTTAGTCTTATACCTTAACGCACTAGTAAAACAGTACTGTATATTACTGTTTATTGAGCCATTGGGCTTATTATCGTTATATTTGGTGGCTAATTTCATTAAAATCTGATCATATTGAATAATCATTTGATTTTGACAAGAATAATTAATTGCATCATATTGTATCATAGTTTTAATGACCTATTTTAGTATTTTTAAGCGGCCATTTTGAATTGACCTTTTGAAGGTCAAGGTCAATTTCATTATCTTGGTATCCACCCTCATCGTCTTCAGTATACCCATATTAGGTTAAAACTCTCAAGATATTACTTGTACTATAAAATGCCTCTAGCATTAATATTTTCTTAAAATCAGTCCTGTCTATAGGAACCTTTGACCTTTTAACCTGAAAGTGAATGTGGCAGATACAACTCATCAAGGTACATCTACATACTAAGTTTGAAGTAACTATGTCAATGCACTTAAATGTAATTTTGTTAGTGTTATGTTTAGTTATACCACAGTGGGTGTAACAGTTCAAATAAAATAAACGTGCATCTCCTAATTTTATAGTTTTATTAGTAATGAAGTAAGTGAGCAAGCTTAAACTAAAAATTAACTAAAGACGTGTATTTCAAGTTATGGCAACCTTGACCTTTGATCTTAAAAAAAACAAGAGAGGTCATCTTTCCAATATAATCAAACAGTCATAACATTATGAAGTTTAAAGGATGTGTCAATGAAAACTTCAAAGTATTGAGATAATTATATAAAGTTCAAGGTCACTATGACCTTGGTTGGACCTGATGACCTTAAACAGTTTTTCAAATGAATTGGGACAAATGATATTTAATCAGTTAAAGGAAACATACAGGCTGTTGGACAAACAAACATGGGAAACATAATATCACTATATTCTCCACATATGTAGGAACACAGACTCAACATATAATACACATAGTGACAAGAAGAAAATCTGTTTTAACAAGTTTATTACATTATCAAGTCCAGTTAAAGCAAACTTAACAAAATCTATAATCACTTTCAAGTCATGTTCACAATAATGATTAAAGAGAGAAATTAAAATATAAAGAATACAGCGGTTTAGTAACTTGAATTAAAAACAAAAACTGTGAGTAATACACTTTTACCAGAAGGCAAAGAATGAAATTTAACATGTTATTGGTGAAAAAACGTAACTGATTTAGTTAATTTGAGTTTTAAAGCAGCATTATATTTCATTCAAGTTATATAATTACACTCTCTTTCCACTTTATTTTTCACATCATACTCTTTACATGCATAACTTAACTTGAACAAATACTATCCATTTCTGAAAAAAAAACCAACCTGAATATCATTATTATAATAAGATAATTTTGGTTAATTAAACTAATTTTATTAATCTACTTAGCATCACAGGTGCCAAACGTCTAACACCCACTCCCCATACCCTACCCCTATACCAGTATATATACACAAAACAACTTATGTTTATTACAGATATAAGAATGTATGACAGGGATATTAGATGTCAAGCACCTGTGCTTAGAATTATATAGATAAATATGTGATCATAAAAAGTAACAATGTTACATTCAAAAAATAATAATCTCTTGTATTTGGCTCTTGTGTATTTTAATATAGCACTTATTGCTTCCTTATTACCTTGTCTACCTTACAAAGGCTTTTTTTGTTTTTGGTTGTGTTTTACATCACAGCAACACAATTGAGGTCATACCGTGACTTTACAGCCTTACTGGTGGAGGAAGACCTCAGGGGCCCCTCCATGCAAAGTATGAAGCACTGAGATTTCTTAAGCTAGATGGATGGCCAAAGTTCCTGGCTGGGTGGAACGGAGGAAGTTGTTTGAAGCCACTCTGCCACTGATGCGCCATTGGAATTTAATACTAGTTACAGTTTCAAGGAATTCATATAAGAAGTTTTATAATTACATTTTATGCTGACCCTTAAGCTGCTGAATTTGTGCAGTCGACTTGCCTTGCAGTGAAAAAATATTTCAAGATTTTTTCTCTCTTTTTCTAAATAAAATACAAAAATTTAGTAGCTGTCAGCTTAGGGTAAGCTTAAAAAAAAACACTTAATTTTTGGCTGGCCTGGATCTATACAGGAAGCATAGATGAAGAACCTTTCACTGCTTGTATTTGAAATGGTGACTTGTGAACTTGTCACAAAAACATCAGTCTATTTCTACCTAACAACTAAATTAAAATCTTATATTCTTTCAAACAAGTACTTTCTATTATTTTATCAAAATAAAGGTCATTTGAAATACTGTTCTCATTCTCTTATATATCTTATGTCTTTTATATCATTGTCTTATATATCTATTGCACAGTGTCTAAAAATTAAGTTAGGGTTCTTTAACTTTTTCTGTCAAAATGGCTGACTTGGACATTAATTTCTTTTATCATAATAGGCATACAGGTTTGTATTTAACATTATCTTTGACCTCAAAAATTATTTCTAAAATTCAGCCTTCAACAAAGGGACAAAACTGGTGCTACATTAGTTATCTGGAAATACCTTAACAAATGGAACATTACGGCCAAAGTTCAACCCTTTTAAATTTGTGTAATTGACTTGTACTATATTGAATTTGGAACAGTCCATTTGAATTTTAAGGAATTTTAATAACAAAACAGAAAAGGCTCTATTTAACAAAATCATATTAATTTTAGTTCCAGGAGTTTAAGGTCTTAATTACCCCCCTAGTATACGGACATAACATATGCTTTATGCTCTACTCATGCTGAGCTGGTTTAAGGTCTTAATTACCCCCCTAGTATACGGACATGTCATAAGAACATATGCTTTATGCTCTACTCATGCTGAGCTTGTTTAAGGTCTTAATTACCCCCCTAGTATACGGACATGTCATAAGAACATATGCTTTATGCTCTACTCATGCTGAGCTGGTTTAAATTATAAATTCAAAGTGTTGTTTGTTTGATTGGGTTTTATGTCGCACCGACACAGTATAGATCATATGGCGACCTTCCAGCTTTACTGGTGGAGGATGACCTTCAGTGCATTATTTCAGACACCTGAGTAGAACCACCGACGTTCCGTAAGCTAGCTGGATAGCTTCCTCATATGAAAAAATCCAAAGTCCCTGTCATGATTCGAACCCACAGCGGTGAGGGGTAAGTGGTTTGAAGTCATCAACCGTAACCACTCGGACACGGACGCCCCATAAATTCAAAGTGTCACGTTAGAAAATGAAAGTACCGAATAGCATTTAATAAGACTATACATACAGATTAACTAAATTGTCATTGTTTATAAATATATTAACTTGTGAATAAATAATTGTTGTGAGTTAAAATTCTTAAAACATAAAATATTAATCAAGGGGTCTTTGAGTTAATAATGAATGTCCAAATAATGACTAAAATATATACTGAAAGGTTATTTTAATTTAGGCTAAGTCACACAGTCAATTGTTAATGTTACATGGTGACTTTCCAGCTTTACTGGATCAGTAACACCTCCTGTATCTCTAACTAAGGGCCTTAACACAGACATGAGCGGGCACCTGTGTACAGAAGTGTTTATTGCCATAGATAATTATGTATAACAACAGATAGTGTAACCATAGTAACTAAATTTTCTCATTAACATTTGACAAATTACAAAGTCAGCATTTTATATACATGTACAATATGGGAAGAAAGTTTTAAAATAATCTACAATTCAAATGTTTAATACATATTTCATACCTATTTATTATTCTCAACACACTTACCAATGCCTCATCACAAAAATTTTACTCAAGCCTACATAATATGTCATGTTGCATAAATTTTGATATTAAAGTTTTACAAAAAATTTCTTTAACAAAAACTACAAAATAACTTGCAATTACTCACTACACCAATCTACCTCTAACTATATCTATTTTTATTAACTGAAAACCCTATTTATTTCTTTTTCTCAAGTAATTTTTCAATTTTGTTTTCACTGTAAACAAATTATGTTGCCTGATTGAGTTTTAAAGTGGATTGGTCCATAATGGAAGGTATGAAATACCATTAATAAATTATGTTGATATTATTTAGTATCATACATAACCACAAACCACGAAAGAATCATTTATGGATGTTGTTGACAAATGTGATATTTATGATCCAATATAACATACAAGTATTTTTTAAAGGTAATATTTCAGTAGAATATCCAAATGATACATTTCTATTGTTTTTATCTACATGTATATTTGAAATATTAACTGAAAATCTGCCCATTGTAGACCAATCCACTTTTAGTCCTACCCACACTATGAGGACTTTTCATCTTTACTGGAGGAGGAAGACCACAAATGCTCCCTTGTTCATTAGCATGAACTCACCTTTCATTAACAAGCTGGATAGCTTTCTAGTATGAATAATCTTAAGTCCTCAGCAGGATTTGAACCCACAGGGCTGAGGGCAGGTGATGAGAATTCAGCTACCCTAACCACTTGATCAGGAAGAGCCCACACAAGATTTCTTAAATATATCAATTCAACTCCTGCAAATATTGCAATGTTTAAATTCATCTATGTAAGGCTAGATTTTGGTAATTAATCAGTCAGCTGTCACATCTTAACACATAAAAAGATGCTACTTATTTAAACAAATACATCTTAGAACTAACAAATAACACAACAGAAATGATTTTCATTCCAGATTTTATGAAAAATAAATAATGTACCATAAAATAGGATAACCAATAAAAAGAATTTGTTCTCTATCTATAGTAACACATAACTACGTAACATCTCTATATAAAAACAAATGGGTTCATTAAATCCTGTCTTTTTTCCACTTTTTCACTCAGCAGAGCATTTTTTGACAAAGTTTTCCATTAAAAACTTTAATATGCATAGTTGAATTCAGTGTGACTTTTCAATTTAATAAATATAAATTTGCAAATGAATGTAGTATTGTTTGTAATAAGTTGCAGCCAAAAAAAAATTTAAGTTAATTAAACATTATTATTTTGAAGATCAGAATTCCTTGCCATCACAGAATTTATAACTCTCTACATTTGCTAAACCATGAAAAATTAAAATGCTTTTTAAAAATCACACAGGGCTGCTTTAACACTGGCTATTCTTAATTCTACAGTCAATTTTACAATTTACGGAGAGCAATTGACTCTCAACTTTGCATTATTACCACTGTAACAATATTATGAACATATATAAATCAGAACAAGAATTAAATCAGAAAAGTCAAACTGCATAGAACCTTAGCACTGTCTGTAGCACTTTCTATGCGAGGCCCGTCTATAAATATTAAAAACATTTCTAACATAGAAAATCTAAAACTTGGAGATAATTTTCCTCATAACAACATTGTTGATGGGTTTTCGAGATATTTACGGAACTCAGCTAGCCACTTGGCACCTACAGCGCCATCTACCACCCGATGGTCACAACTCAATGTCACTGACATCACTGTCGCTTCCGTGAAACTGTAAAATAAAACATACACAAACTTACAAATTCTTCAAAATACTCTTTTTAGTTTGAAAGGTGTGAAAACTTGTAAATTATTTGAACTACCTTCAAATCCACTTCCTGGGAAAAGTATTTAACCCTTACAAAGCTTGTTTTGTAAAATGAATTTGCCCTGCTATGACTTTGGAACAGTCAAAAGTAGTTTTAAGGGATTTAAACAGTCTGATCAGACTGCATAGAAGTGAAGGCTCACAAATCAAATGCACACAACTGTCCAACATGGGACATACTTGATACTACAGTGTCCAATAAATGAAATACATTGAACTGTCACATGGTTTAGCTCAGAAGCAGAGACTGGATGTAAATTATGGGTATAGAATATTCATGCACATTTCTTCAAAAAGAAATGGAAGATGCCCTCACTTTGTTTATAAATGGGCATCACTTTGCATGTTAACAATCCTCACTTTCTAAATATTTTAACTTACCCTGAGCTACTGTCCTCGTCCACCACTAATCTCTTTTCAGCCCCACCTACTGCCAGAATACACGCCTGTGGTGGATTGATAACTGCTGAGAATGACTTTATACCAAACATACCCAGGTTAGAGATTGTAAATGTACCACCCTGCAACAATCAAATAATGTCATATTACAGTGATAAGAAAACAAAAAGTAAATCAAAATTTCATTATTAACCTTCACTTTAAATTTCTTACTACTGTTATTTTGGTTGGGTTTCAGTTGCTCCAACAATGTACAGTTTATATGGTGATTTTCCAACTTTAGTAGTGAAAGAAGACCTCGGGTGCCCCCTTGTGCTTTATTCAGGACATAAGGGGGACACCCAAGAAGAACAAACATGTATTTTTACCAGCTTGAAGGATAGTTTCCTAACAAGAAAGTGTCTAAAGCAGCCCAAGTATAATGGAAACATATTTTACCTATAACAACTCAAATTCACGTGCAACAGGTTATTTATAACTTTTTATTATTATTATATAAGCTATGTAAACCAAAAAACAACAGTAACACATTATTTACAATCTGACAAACCGCAACTCGAACAATGTTCCTCAGGACAAAAAGTGCTAAATTCATGGAGAACTTACTTGGAATTCATGTGGTTGTAATTTGCCATCTCTGGCTTTAGCTGCCAACATTCCTACATCATCACCAATCTGTGCAAGACCCTGTAACATATAACATTACTACTGAATGTATATGCAGTAAAAATTGCCTCAGTTCCCAAAATAAGGGAAAAGGACTTGACAATTTCCATTTCTTCAAGTATAGTTTCCCCCCAGGACACAGAGCCTTGGTTACCCACTTGGCAATGTGTCTCTTTTTGCCAAACGTAGCTACACTTGACTTTATATTTTTTTCCTAATCAAAAACATTAAGAGGAAGAATATTGAGGAATTATTTGAAATAGTCAAGCTAACAATGATTGAAGATATCTGTTTAGTTTGTTTCCAAGTGTGATTATTGTGTTTTTATTAAACAACAATTTAAATAAAAGCATATAATGCCTACCTTTAGATCGGCTCTAAAAACTATAGGTGTGATAAGCCCAGCATCTGTTGCCACAGCAACATTTATATCAACTGTATTATATCTGAAATATAGGTATAAAATAAAGTAACTAAAATACTGCTGAAAATCTAAGTACATATAAATCTAAATGAATGGAAATCTACACTGTTTAATTCAAATAAACATTCAACAAAATAATAAAAGCATTTTATCACTCTGTCACATAGAAAAATTACATCATAGGGATGAGAAAAATTCCTCTTAGGGATCACAGTTTTATATTATATACAGTACAGATAAAATATACAAGATATCAGGACCATCTTGGAATCACAAAGAGCGTGTCTCCCCGGTGGATTTTCAAAGTCCCGGACATAAAAGATTGATTATCCTCTGTGTTAAATTTGTAACACTACTATTCAGTCTCTTTTTCTATGAACATTTATTAACAAGATTTCAAGGTGTTATTTGTGGAATTTTTGTTTATCAGCTTTAATCTGATGATAATTTTTGTTATTACCACCTTATCTACATGAATAATAACCACAGTAAATAAATAACAGTTGCTTGATCCAGGGCAACACTGACACTTCAGTTTAATGTATTTATGACTTTTTTTATGCCCATTTTAAACATGATTTAATTCTGGAGACGACATGAAGTTGTATTCCAAATTGCATAATATCTTTTTTCGCAATTACTCAACATTTATTCCCAGCCAGAAAAAATTTAAAACTGGATGAGAAACAGTTATATTAAATTTTGGTTATTGTCACATAATGTGCGTGTTGATTTCCTTTACAAACAAAGCCTTTTTAAGTATGTTTGGCTATCAGCTGACACAGACGGGAATCTCCAACTTTAAGGCAACTGTAACAGCCTTTAAGGTTACTCTCAAGCTGGAAATCACAGTCTGTATTTGCAGCCGATGCAAGATTCAAATATTTTAGCTACTATTAGCCACAGCCTTGCCTGATATAGATAAGATACAGGTTTCACTGAATTTACTTACTGCCTAACAAAACTATCCTGCCATGATGAATTAGCCTCAGGTATCTGTTTACACGCTAACGCCGATGCTTTTATGATGAAATCATTCACAGAGATTTTTTTGTTATCTTTAGCTAATAAACTATTTAGTTCTTTTCTTAATCTGAAATAAAATAAATAGAAAACTATTAAAGCCATACTCTCATGTCATCTTATCCTTTACCTGTGAAATGTCTGACATCAGCAGGCCTTCAGATTCATGCTAATTTTCATGAAATTTTTTAAAATGTATTCAAAAGTTAAGTCAAACAGAGTAAACAAAGATTGTAATTTACACATTGCAAATGACACTTTAAATCTATGAAAACATCCAAAAATTTGTCAGAATATGCGAAAATATCCCTTACAGTGTTAGTTACGCAGTAGAGTATGATGATAAATACTGTTAAATCAGTCATTAATTGCATATAACAAGTGACTTATTTCTTGACTAGTAAATAATTTTACTCTTCTTAAACTCTTAGTACATTTTTCACAAGAATGATTTTCTTGAAATATTTTGGATCATCTGCAGATTTACATAGAATTGTCCAGCTTTAAGTAATGGAACTGTCCATTATCAATTCTGGGGATATCAAGATGAAAATTTGAAGTTGACCAGTCAACAGGCTGAAGACATGGCTTTATACTCTAGACAAAGACAACTCACTTCAGGGCAAGACTTGACTCTTTCTGCTTTAATTATATAATGTACAATTTGCCTCGGATTGTTTCTTTTGAATCTTACAGTTATAGAAAACACTACAGAAGATGGATGTTTATTCTATATACATTTTTGTGGAAGAAAATGAAGAGTTAAGATAAAAAGATTTATTTTTCCACACTAAAACTATACTAAAAGCCAATAAACATAAAAAATTAGTTGAGGGATTTTTTTTTTGGCGTATTTTATAGCCGTTATTGGGTCATATTCCAAATTGAAAATAGTATATTATTTTCCCAATCCACAGGAAAAAATTCCCAATTGGAAGTTACAAAATAAAAGTATTGAAATTTTTTTTGTAAAATCTTTGAAAATAAGGGCTTAATCACTGTTATGGTGCTTGAATTTTTGAAGATGCCATCCTAGACAGTAATTGTTGGCACTAATTTAATCACTGCAATATTTCTGTCATGCATTTTTTCCCCAATTTTTAACAAAACACTGCTGAAAATCCCAATTCCATGGGTATAGGTCATTTTCCCAAAATCTTGAGAAAAAAAACAACCCTGTAGTTAGTCAGATATCCTAGGATAATATAAATGCAAGAGAACTTACCCTAATGTTTTATCAAGTGTGACATCTATTGTAAGGTAATAGTGGGGTATAGTCTGTTTGGACTCCGTTAACCTCTTAGCTATTGTCTGAAATCAATAAAATATAATCATGAACACTTAACACATGTATTAACTTCAGAATTTCATTACTTATTATCATCACCGGAAACCCATTATGTTGAATTACACAGCAAGTGTGGACGTCAATGTAATTTTGAAAATTTTAGAATTTTGCATGGAATACACAGATCTTTCATTCTAAAAGTGACCACTAGTTCTTCAGTGAGCACAGACACCATGCTGGTTTTAACTTTAAGTCTCATCCAATATATCTACACTAAAATCAGTTCACTCTCTTAATTTCATATTGTCACAGTGTTTCATGTCCAGTAAATAATACCACATTTACACTCCTATAAACGTTTTCCAGGTGGAGAGAACAGATTCTACCTAACTGACCATTTAGCATAGTAAGATTTAACACTCTCAAAAAGATATCAAAACACTGAGATTGTTTTTCTTCGATATTTAATTCCCTCAGTAAAACAATTATACTTTAAACTCTTACTATGCTACAGGGTTAAAACAGAAATCGTTGTACTAAATTCATGCACTTTCTTTATAGGCTTTTTAAGGCCAATTTTGCAGGAGTGGGATTATTACAAAGTTTTCTATGTAAAAGCACATGGTACACTTAAAACACATTACCACAACAACCAGCATTATCCTTACAGGTGTCCCCGCCCCTTCATTGGTTTTCAGGGCATTTTGACTCTCCCCTATACCATCTATTCTATTATCTTCACAAGAAACATGTTCTACCTCAAACCATAAATCTTACCTTTCTCATGCCAGATACTGGAATATCTACAAATGCACCTGGAGCGGAAGGTGCACCAACAGCTGGTGCCTGTACCACAGCTGTCGGTGAAAAGTTCATGACATCTTCAGCCCGAATCTGCCCATCAGGACCCGTACCTTGCACAAGCTGGAATATTCCATCAATATTTTCAACATTATGTTTTCATATTAAGAGATTAATACACAGCAGAGTAGGGCCGGAAGGTGAAAATCGGCCCGCAAAATGAATAATGGCCCCGAGGGCTTCAGCCGACTCCTTTTTCAGCCGATTTTCAGACGATTATCACCTTCCGGCCCTACTCTGACGTGTATTAATGTCTTTAATACACTTGGTAGATCTAATAGTAGCATTTAAAAAAAAAATAAAAAAAAAACAACAACAACAACAACAAATACTTTGAAGTTCTTTCGTTGAAATTCTTGTCTACACTTCTACTGTTTTGTACAGAGATGTTTACTGTTTGTGTGTTCAAAGCAGTAGAATCTTGAACCAAGTTTTATTTTCATTTTTTTTTCGAAATGAATTTGTTGTATTATTTCTTCAAATTTCAATAGTAACAAAAATGTGTTTGTACTAAATATGCTTAAGCTCTCACAATAAAAATAAAGCGATTCGTGCTGACAAACTACTTTCACTTTTACAGTTAATGGTTTGATGACGTAAAATATGACGTCATTGTTTCAGTTTGTGCACATGCACATGTTCTGCGGGCTGATAACTAGTTCTCGGCCAGGGCCGCAAACTCATAATAGGTCACGTGACACTCATAATCAGTTGAAATCATAGGCAATTTTGTTACTATATATAGTAACAAGTGTATTAATATATATTATATCATTTCATATCATTTTATAGGAACTTCATTCACAATGATATCAACTTTAAATCTGAAATACTCAGTGAATAAACAATTGCTTCAACGTTATTGTTTCATGTTGTTAGCTTCTTCAGGAATTGGTTTTAAATCAAAACAAGATTGATTATTAGTTATATAAGAACTGTTACTGGAGGGCCTCACATGTAACCCATTGCACTTTTTCAGTCCTAGAAGATGGGAACATGTGAAGAACAAAAATCTAAATGCAAGCTAGACAAGTAGCTTCCATAACAGAAATAATCAAGGTCATTAGCAGGTTTAAAATCTACATTAATGTAAGGAATAAGATAGAAAGTCAGTGACATGAAACTCATGCACATACTACTACAAAAGGGCCCTCTCTTTAAAAAAAAATATTTTTTATACTTTTTGTGCAATTTGTGTGTTAATTTTAATAACAAACCACAATTGAAATAAACTTTTATCCTAAAATCAAATAAATTCTATCATACATGAATTTTTTCACTTTTCACTTAAACGACTCCTTTTTCAGCGCAGAGTCCTTGCGTAAAAGGGTGGAAAAATATGTTCCTCTTTATCGTTTGGGGGAGGGGGGTGGAAAATGGGCTGATGGTGCTGGGTTGGGGGGGTGGGTCTGGGGCGGGGCAGTACTGGAGTGGAGGGGGGGAGGGGGGGGGGAGCTGCTCGCCCTTGGCCTCAACTAGAGAAACATCAGCAGATTTTTACATAGTCTTTAAATGCAGCAATTTCCCCTTCATCAGCTACTATTATACACAGCAACTAGAAATATAATCATACATTTCAAATTACATCACTTACGACAAATTGCCAAGGTTTTTAAAAAAATTAAACACAAAGCAAGAGAGATATTAAGGATTTTCAGGGTTGTCATTAAGAGCATTTAATGCAATTTAGGCCATCTTAAAACTTAGGAAACACAACGTGTTGAATGTTTTAAAACCTACAGTGACCTCTTCAAATTCAAAACAAACTGTAAAAAAAAAATTCATTGACAATCCTGGGTTTTAACTTTAATGCTTTGCCATTAAATGAATAATGGATTTTAAATGGTTCAAAATGTCTCTGATTTTAGAGGTCTGAATCATGATATCAGGGATTTTTTCGGGCTTATTTTATAGCTGATATTCGGTCATATTCCCAATTGAAAATAGTATATTATTTTCCCAATCCACAATAAACAAGAGGGCCATGATGGCCTTGAGGTCGCTCACCTGTATATAGGCTCCCCCAACCTACACCCCCCCCCAAATGTTGCAGGGGCCAATTTAACCCAAGGGCTTCTATTTGCACAAACTTGGTAGACACCCATAAGAAGATGTTTCATGCTAAACATCTAAGCTCTAGCTCATTGGGCTTTTTAAAAGAAAGATTTTTTTTAAAGTTTTTACTATACACATATAGTTAAAAACAATGACCTCCCTGGGGG